AAAATATTATTCATATACCCCTTATAGTTGTGAAGATATAATCATTCATTCTGGGCATGTCATTTTTCGAGCCTGAGGCCTGGGCTTAACAGGTTAAACTGTGGAACATGATGGCTGCTCTCAGAACATCTGTTATAATTTTCAAAAGTTCTGATTGTATAACAGATTGTCTTTAGGCGCTTTCACACCGGATTAATTTTCCCACAATAGTTCCGATATAGTTCCGAAAAGTTGCGTTCACACCAAAAGAAAAAAGAACTATATTGGGATGCTCACACGCCGCAAAATGTGTGGTTCTGGATATGCAGAGATTCTGTTTGAGGCACAACTAGTGACAAGTGGATCCCTCAAGAAGAAGAAGAAGAAGAAGACACACTTTATTAATCCCTTACAGGGACATTTCTTTCCCCACTCTGTTGTGTTAACACACATTACACACACAGGGGAGGATATACATGCACAAACACAGAGGATATACATGCACACACATAACCACATGCAGATAGGAGAGGTGGCAGAGCAGAGAGGCTGCCAGGTACCCGGCGTCAAAGGTGTTTTAAGTGGAAAGGCATACGCAAAGTACCTCTTTTGCCTCAAAACTCTGTGCGAATCAATGGAGAGGCTGTTGATGGAGCGGTTCATTGAGGAGGAAAGCGTCCTTATCACTGACCCTGCTGCACTTCTCAACATGACCCAGTCTTGCAATCGAGAGCACCTCAATGAAGCCCTCAAAGACCGCTCAACTCTAACCCTCATCGAGAAGTATCACGCCTATGAGGAGAAGGTGCTCAAGGGTCACCTGGGAAAGACAGCTGCCTTATGGATGTCATTTATTAACCACTGTCATCTTGTCTTCATGCTACTCCACTCCGTTAAGACCAACAACATCCAGTTGTTTCACAAATGCAATGGAGAGATGGCAAATATCTTCTTTGCATTTGATGGACACAACTACTCAAGGTTTGTGCTATTTACATGACAATTTACCAAATTTGCATTATGAGACAAGCTTTGAAAATAAATGTTTCTATGTGTAATCTGTGCCTTTCCTTATCTGCAGATATCTGACTTGGCTGGAGGTCTATCTGACAAACCTGGAGAACACACACCCAGGGGCCAAAGACCTGCTTTCTAATGCCGCATTTCCACTACACGGTCGGCCTCGGCCACGCTCGGTACGGCTCGGTACGGCTTGGCCGCGTTGGGCCTTAACAGGGCCGACTCACTTTATGCTGCGCTTCCATTACAGTTTAGGAACTGGGGTAGTTACTATAGTAACGCAGTGTAGGCGGAGCCGTGATGTCATCTTCAATGAGAACTCCAGAAAACACAACACAGCCGTTAGCTGTTAGCACTCAGAGCTCACAGCTCCTTATATATGTTCAGAAACTCGACAAAAGTTAAACAAGTACAAACCACAGACTGCCTGTGTCATGGTGAATACAGTCGCTGCTTTATTTATGTCTGTATAGGCCGTTGTTGTGAGTGTGGACGGTCGGGGCATATACTGCGTTAGCTTAGCCAATCTCCATCTAGAAAAACACGAATTTTAAAAGGTTTTTCGCCTGCCGTCTGTCTGCAGACTTGACAAAGCATTAATTCATGGTTTTTACTAACCGGTATCAGTATGTTGTTACTTCGGCATCATTTTGAAACGTGTATTACAATTAAATCACGGTCAAATATGTCCATCTTGTTGTAGTTGGAGCCCTCTTGCCAGCGCTCCTCTCTCTAGTTTAGCATACTCAGCCCGACTCAGCCCTGTTTGTTGGCCCCGATAGAACCACAATTTTGTCGGGCCAGAAAAGAGGTGAAAAAGTGGCCCCGGGCCGGGCCGGGCCGTAACTAGGCCTAGTGGAAGCGCAACCAAAAACGGGTACGGCACGACACGGCACGCTTAAAGCGAGCTCCGCGCTGTAGTGGAACTGCGCCATAAGGGTGCAATTGCGGTGGCCCGCTCAATGATACCGGGGGCACTTAGTGCAGTCGACAAGACCATGGAGGAAACGTTCATGCGCTTTGCCAAATCATCAGGTACATTATGATTTTTACCCAGACATTGAACAGATATACAGACATTGTATCAAGATTATTATGTTATATAATACAATTGTATACTGCTCTCACAAAACCACATTTTATTTGATGATTTCTGAATTAAAATGCATGTAACTTATTGTGTGGGAGCAGTAGATCACATATTTGTTTCATACTTTTAAGGTGGCTTCACTGGACTATACAGCCAGTTTGGGGCATACCAGAGGTGGTGTCGAACAACCTCCACACGGGCACAGTTTTATCAAAAGACCCTTGAGATGGTGGACCTCATCAAAGACCCAGACTGCCCAAGGGCGGGGAAACATCGGGAGCTGGAGAAGGCAGAGGTCAAAAAGGGTCAGGAGGCCATTCAGCGAACCATCGAGACAATTAGGAACTTTATTGACCCGAAAGTACAAAAAAAAACACTTCAGATGCTCAGAGTTCTTGAGATGTTTACGGTTCTTCAACAAAACGTTCACATGTAAGAGGTTTATCTCTCATTCAGAACAATGGAAAGGCTCTCCTCTCACTGATTACTGCACATCACCATGGAAACCTTTGATCTCTGGACACACACACAGCTGTTTCATAACATCATTAGCTCAAATATAAACACCTGTGTCATGGAACACGATGATGTCATAACTCCAACTGACATGCTCAGAGCAGCAGACTTCAGATAATGGTTAACACAGCTCTACATCAAATCTGATGTTACGTAATGTGGTGTTACTATGGCAATGCATCCCTTGCCATAAAATAGCAGCAGACTTCAGATAATGGTTAATGGTCCTGCCTTCAACAGCTCTACGTCAATTATGGGGTGTCATCATATGGCGTTTCCATGGAAACGCATCCCTCGCCATAAAACACAATGTTGCTGTAATTCCAATGGACACGGTCCGATCGTCCCCCAAACTTCGCTTGTATATCACCGGTCCATGCCTCAACAGCTCTATGCCAAATCTGAGTTGCCAAAGGGGTTTGTAGGAGTCGGGAGGGCTGATAATTTATTCCGGCAAATTACTCAGACCTACTAATTGACCTAACAGAAGTTATTGAGTCTATGTAAGTTTACTGCTTGGTTCAAATCCACCAACGTCAGCAAGATCTCACCTCTATTAACTCCTGGAGAACCAGGTTCAATTAACTGCTGTTTCAATTCAGACGACCCGCTAAATCTGTTTTAGCGATCCCGAAGGATTTTGATATCAGTAATGAGGTGTGGCCCTACCTAAGTGTGAGTGAGGCAGTGTGCAATCTTACCTTTTAAGCAGGAGAGGAGAGTGCAGATGTCTTTTAAGTTGTCCCAATCCAAAAGGTGGGATCAGTTTATTTGAAGAAAAATTGGTCCACACTTATACAGGGTTTCTACCTTCTCTCGTTACAACATGACAATCCTACAAAACATATCATGCTGTGATCATGTTCTAATATGAAATTCTCAATTCACAGTTTTACATTTATTACACTAAATTGTAACTTCAACTGCCCAATTCAGTTGTGATATTTAAATCTCCCGATAGAATTTAGAGGCATCTCCTCATAAACGACCGGTGATAATAAAAAGCACATTCAGAGTTTCATTCACCAAATCAATTCACATCAATTCCACACCTATTTCCGCATGAATTCGGAGGAATTTCCTCACAGGTGGCGGGATACTAAACATTCACAAACACACATCAATTCATTCCGCTCATTCAACCAAGAAGGTCACTCCGCATTCAACAAAGAAATTCGAGAGATATTTACCAAGTTTGAGAGAACCTTACCGAGAGCAAAAACCCAGCTCTCAGGGAGAGAGCTTTACCGGGAGAGAGTATACCAGGGGAACCCCCCTCTCTCTCTCTCTGCCAGTGTCTTTATGCTCAAAAACAGGACAGAAAAACCTAAAGACACCTCCTCCATACCCATATTTGTGGAAACTGGGCATGGCCTCTGATGAACAGGACTGGACAGGACCAGACATATTCTATGGCTATGGCATAAGACACATCTTCCCATGTTTGCGTAAAAAGGTCATGACCTCTAGTGTGCAGGACTGGAAAATATTATTCTCGGCTATGGCACAAACACCTTTTTGGGGCCTCAGTCTATTTCTCCTTAAGTCAGGAGCCCCCCTCCCTGTGTACTGCTGTGAGGGAAGAGGGAATAAACTGTCTCTCCTCTCTTATCAGTGACACCCATAAACCATAATAGGTCTTACACTCAACTTAACAAACCACTTTGTTTATACTGTAAATATAGAAAATCATAAAATATGAAGCATTTTCATTTTGGGTTATACAAGAATATAATTGATTATATTTGATTATAACTAACTTTCGTTTTAATTATTCAACCTAATATGGAGATCTCAACAGGTTAAAGTCCCCTCGTAGGTGGTTAAAGTCCCCTACGTGTGCCGTTTTGGTTTCAAGACCCTGGTTCACGGAGGACACCAAAAAAGTCCTAGAAAGACAAGGTAAACTTAACTAATGTGCATTTAAAAATAAAAAAGGAATAGTTTTGGCGAAACTAAAAGGTACCATGGGGTCAGATTATAGTTTTCCAAAGGGGGGTTCGTTTAGCATGAAACAGTTAAACAAGAAAGTAGAAAGAAAGGGAGGTGATAGAAAAAACAGAGTCAGACCTAAACATTTCAGATGTGTGTATCTCACACTGCACTGTAACATTAATTCATGTACCTTTGCTTTTACATGAGTGTTTTTAAATGTCATTTCATAATTAATGTCTTTCATTTTTGTAAAGCACTTTGAATTGCCTTGTGTTGAAATGTACTATATAAATAAACGTGCATTGCCTTGCCTAGGGTTAGCGATTGAGAAATTCTGGATTTGGCCCTGACCTGTCCATCACTGCTTGCACTAGGTGGACTCGCAGTTTGAAGCAATAGTTAATGTAGTAGACTGTTTCCTTGTGGATATGTTTGGCTTTTGAATTTGTGACACACTTAATCTAGCTTGCCCGAAATACATTTAATCTTAGTTTTGCAAGTCTATTCCATAGACATGTGCCGCCTTTAGTAGAAGAATATATAATAAATTCTCTCACAAACTTGCAAAGATACAAGTCGGTTTAGTCAATGTCAGACATTTTAGGTGGATAAAAAAAACATGTTTTTGAATAGACCCCAATTGTTTACCACTACTAGTCTTCTGCAGTGATCCATAATGAAAAGAGGACAACCAAAAACAGAGCGGACACTGTGACATAGACAAAAAAGAAAATCCTGTCCAATTTTTTAGCCACTCTGGTCCAGTAGTCGGGCTTCCTTCCTTCCTTCCTGCTGAGGAGCAGAGAGAGTCCTTTCACCGCCTCACTCAGCTCATCTGGGTGCTTCTCCAAGGAATTGGACTCCTCCATCAGTTGGCTTCTTTTGTCCTGCAGAAGTTTTTTTAGTGGAGTGATCATGGATCATAACAACCATAACAAATTACCAGCTGTTCAATTTGATATACCAATTGTTGTCAATTGTGGTGAGAATAAAGAGTTGGTACTGTAAACAATTTTTATACCAAACTGTTTGTTTTAAGAGTAACCCAATTCTCACCTCTTTGGCCACAGACAGCAGTTCAGATGGCGGTTCATCAGACACATTACACACACAAGCACAGCGAGTCCATTTCTTCACATCTGAAAGGAAATTGTTGACACAGGACAGCAGCATGTTCAAAATAATGTATTATTAATTGTAGATGTTTCTTTGTGTATTCCAAACATATGAGTAAATACAATAAAACAATAGTTAAAACCCACAGGTTTAAAGAATGTGTTCAGTCTCACCTCCATCATAGTTGCCCTGTTTTTTTTTATCTGCCTTTTTTTCTTTAGATGCAGAGTCTTTCTCAATCAGATACATCACCAAAATCGTCTCCAGAAGGCTGACCATCATCAAACTAAATATCCCAATGCAGTACACCGCTGAAGAGAAAAGGCAACATCATTAAAGAGGATGAAAGGCAAGCCATTGTTGTTCCTGCTTGAATTAAATGAAAGTCCAATAAAATAATGACTCTGAGCTGCTCTACCTATAAGCGGTATACTGTCTGAAGAGCAAGGCAGAATGTCGTTGAGAATAAGCTGCATCACAGTGACAGCGAGCAGCAAAGTGACCTCGAAGCCGAGCTTCTCTCCCCCGCTGTCAGAGATCACGAAGGAGGCCAAGTCCAGACCGAATAAGAGCAGGACAGGTACCAGGAAGTTGACAATATAGAGGAGAGGCCGCCTCTTCATGGTGATCTGTGATCCAAGATGGAAAAACAGTGAATCTGTTCACTAATGCTGCAATGATCAAAAACATTATTGATTATGGGTTTAAGTTATTTTGCATGCAATATGAAAGATATTGCTCCACTGAAATATGAAGTTTCCTGTTTATATAATTTAACTATATTTTATATTTTGTCACAGTTGTTAAGGATGATTAAGAGGCCACCATCAAAAATGTGCGATTACAATGTTTCCAATGAACAACAATGTCAATGGGTTTGCTCTTTTTTATTCCGCTGTTTAGAATGCAAGCTAAATAAAACCAGCAAGTGGAGCTGCAGACATTTTCAGGCACATTTTTGCAGAAATAAAGCAAAGTAAAATGTACAACACACTTACAGTATAAATTACAACGCTTTGGTGTTGATGAAAACGTGGGACAGATCGGTGCTCGACTTTCATGCCCATGAACAGCCACTCAGACTCCGTACTCATAATTTCGCGAGTCCATTCTGTTGCCTGTGAACTGTTTTTGTAGACTTGAAACTTCAACTCCTCCTCTAAGATGAAAGTGAAAATACAAGTTTGACATGTCTTATCAGATCAACACAGGATAAATGCATGTGCTGGTGTGTGCTCATGTGAAAATTAGCCTTTAAAGAGATAATTACCACAAACGTGCAATCAAACACACAACATACATATTTGAGATAAATGTCTAGAAACTTCTGAATGCTCACCTGGGTAAATGATAGACTTGAGAGACAAGTTGCAGCTCTGAGTATCAAAAGGAAATTTGTAAACTTGCATCTTGCACGAGCTGACCACCATAAGGTTCTTCACATTTTCAACGAAACCGTTCGAGTGAATGGTGAAAAAGGGATTTGGAATATCCTTGTCCTTCTCTATCCTGCATGACAACAAACATACATTTGTACAAATTAGAGCAAACACTTTATGCTTCAAACTGATTTTCACATTGTGTAATACTTTAATACAATGAAACATTTATCTAAATTATTATACTATTGTTTAAAAGAAGTCCTATCATGCAAAATGCACCTTTGTACATCTTGTATACATGAATATGTGTCCCCGGTGTTCTAGGGAGCTCACCAAGTGTCAGAAAACACAACCCTCTCTCTTTTCCTCCATACCCAAAATCTCTAAAAACGGGGTTGCAACGGATCTGATACAGACTGATCCAGATTTGAAAATAGTCTGACGTCAGTGACGAGGAGCTCCGCCTATATGGCCAGCTCTCCACCAATCAGGGGAATGAGAGGTTGCCGTGGCATGGTAACAGCATGGTAACATGACGCTCGTAACTCAGCCCCCTCCTTTGCAGGGGGGCGTGGTCAGTTGCAGCTCATGCAAAGACAGGGTGGAGGAGAGCAAAATAGAGCGAAATGAGGCATGGCTAAAATGCATGATCTGTTTGGTATTTTGAAAAAGAAAAAGTATAAATATACCTTATATAGCAGTGACGTGCGGTGAGGTTCATGGCTGGTGAGGCACTGACTCTTTCAGAGTCAGATTTACAAATATTATAGCCTATTTTGACCTTAATCGAAATATTCTGTTATTTTCAAAAGCTTTTTTAGTCTGATGCTATGATTAATTTTAAACAGACCGATCAACAAAAGGATACCCAAAATCTAAATATTGGATTGTTCTTTCTAAGTAAGATCCCATTTTCATTACAGTTGTGGTCTTACCTTGACTTGAAGATGAATAGAAGTCCATGCTATCCTTCTGGACAACAATCTCTATTACTGTTTTGTAAAAGTCGTCCTTATCTTCCTGTAGTTTCAAAAGTCGAGTTTGTTGTTTGCGGTAGAATAACAGTAGCAACAAGAACCTGTGGGCTCACGTGCGCCCCCTTCAGTGCGGCAGAGGTTATGGCTGCCTCCCCTTGTGATTTTTTCATTGCCGTTGTATATGTGTAGCGAGCCTAAATGTCATATATACGTGAAATAAGTTATTTAGAGACTATGGATGGCGAGGATAAATGTAATAAAGGGATCTACAAACATTACATTGGTGACCTACAGTGAGATGGTAACAGGCATGCGCTTAGGGCCCGCTTTCCAGCCAGTTTCTGTGGGGTGACGCATTCTGAGGTGAGGCAGATCTCATCTGTGCCTCCCCTCAGAATGCGTCACCCCACAGTAAATGGCTTGAGCGCGCTCACAAAATAAGTGGCCGCGCTAAATTAGTGCCCGCGCTCCAGCAAGTTACTGTGGGCTTACGAGAGGCAGAGCTCGTGCCTGCCTCACTTCTCATCGCTCCCGTAGCGGAGCTCGGCAAATTTGCTGATTTTGACTATAAAATGCGATTGGAATCAAACAGAAATCACATTTACACAAGATCAGTGGAGACATTTTATTATTATTATTATTTAGTTTTTCTTTAATTGTTTTTCCGTTACATTGGAGTATGACAGGTGAGGCTCTGCCTCCCCTGCCTCCACTGACTGCACGTCGCTGTTATATAGGTATGGCCCTACAATATATTATTCAAATATAGCATGATAGGTCTCCTTTAAGTCTGTATTTTCCTGAAATGTACCCTCATTATGTTACGTTGCGTGAAAAAGTTAGGACCCAAATGCAGACTACAAAAAGAGGTAACAGGTCTAGAAACAAAAACGAGCTTTATTTACAAAGCTGATGAGCAAAAAAGCATGGCATGGATAACATGGGTAGAACTAGGAATATACATCACCAAAAAATTATCGTGACCAACATGGAGGGAGACAGGAAAAACCAACAATGAACCGACGAGGAAACACAGGAAAAGACAAGACTAAATACAGGGACGGGTAATCAAGGAACAAGAAACAGCTGGGTAAAGGAGGGAGAAACACAAGGGAAACAGGTGAACACAATCAGACAATCAGACACACCAGGGAAACTAACGACAGGGAGGAAAACACAGGGAGAAGGACCAGACAAGAAACAAGGAGGAAAACATGAAACAGGGAGAACAGAACAGCAAAATAAACCCAAACCTAGACATACAAAACTAAAAACGTGACATAACATAAGAATCGTGACACATTACTTTAAATATAGAAATACTATCCACACAGTATAACAATATCACACATTTCTATATCTTAAAGTGGACCTATCATGCTATATTATAATAATATAGTGTAGGACCATACCTATATAAGGCATATTTATACTTTTTTCTTTTTCAAAATACCAAACAGATCATGCATTTTAGCCATGCCTCATTTCTTTCTTTTTTACCCCTGTTTTTGCAAGGGCAGATTCAGTGAGAACAGCACCACCTACAGGCCTGGCATATGTACTACAGCGTCTCCAGCGCTTTCGAACGGCAATGGCCGTGGCTGTCTCCTCCTGATTGGTGGAGTTGGCCCAATAGCCGTAGCGCCACCGTCCTGACATCAGGACAGTGTTCAAATCTGGATCAGTTTTTATCAGTTCCGTTGCAGCCCCTTTTTTAGAGATTTGGGTATGGAGGAAAATAGAGAGGGTTGTGTTTTCTGACACTTGGTGAGTTCCCTGGAACACCGGGGACACATATTCATGTAGAAAAGACGTACAAAAGTGCATTTTGCATGATAGGTCCCCTTTACATTTGATTAACCCGGCTCAAGTCAGTTAAGGGGTATCTGCTTCATTGTTCATTGCATTCTAACCACAGCTGTTTTCCACACAATACATAGGTGTAAAAATATAATTAAAAAAACAATATGTTTAAACTTTGTTGCATCATCTTTTTACATCCATATGATTTATTGTGCATGTCCTTCTTAATAATAACAGGCTCCATCACCATTTACTGTTGTGAGTGTGTGGATTTGTGAGTATGCACAACAATTCCAACTTACATCTCTTCAATCATTAGATCTGGCTTCCACAACAAATCAGTAGGAACAGTCATCTTATCAAGGCCATCAAAGTGATGTGGTTTCCAATAAATATGCGGATCTTCCCATTTCTACACAGGAAAACAAGGAAGAAGGGAAGAAAACAAATAAAAATAAAGACCTTTAAGATGCAATCTACAGCAACTGATTTCAACCTACAGTAGAATAAACAATATAGGAAAATCACAAATTGGTTCTCAAAACAAACTCACCATATAAATCACAACGAAAGAAACGAAAGTCTGGTCAATCTCTTTCTGTAACCGAAGAAATAGTGTGAACATTTTTACCACATTAAGGTAGCTGACCTTCTATATGCGAAACTGTCATAAAACATTGCACTTTGAAGTTAACATGCTGACTACCTTCAGCAAGTGGAAAAGAAGTCAAAGCTCCTTTGTAAACCCACTTTGTGATGTCGCTGCATTAACGGGATCACACTAAGCAAAGCCCCAACGATGTTTCTTCAAGGTAGCTTTGGGGGAGAAACTGATTAAAGGTATTATTTTTGAGGACACTTTGTCGCACTATTCTGACTTGTATATGCTTCCTTCAATAGTGATAGTATTACGCTGTTTCCTAGAGGCACTATGTACAAGTACTGATCTGTTACAGATCGTACTATGACGCTCTCCCTGCGGTGATCCGCAACATCCCGTCTCTTGCGCTTTAAAAGGGCCCTCAAGTCCCACCTCTTTGCCAAGGCCTGCGGCCCCTCATTTATTTGTTGTTTTGTCTGTCTGACTTGTTTTCTTTTATTATTATTATTACAAATAATGATTCAAAGTTGCACTTACCACATCTAGAATTGCCAGAATTGACATTTGGACATAGACCCATGTTGGTTTCTTGTAGTCTTTGGCAGGTCGGACCAACTTGTTGTCGGTCAGGTTCAGGTCGTTTAAAACATCTTCATAGGGGAACTTACTTTCTATTGGGAGGACATCAAAACAATATCTCTGTCAGAGAGTTACTTCTTTATAGGAAAAACTACAAGGAAATGCAGACCTCAGTTTTTCATTCATAGCTCTCTCTCTCTCTCTCTGTCTCTCTCTCTCTCTTTCTCTGTCTCTCTCTCTCTCTCTCTCTCTCTCTCCTCCCATGTCCTTAACCAACTGATTATGGGCGTTCACTCATTCAGTTAAACCAACAAGATGTTGCCATGACCTCCATCAGCCAGTCAGTAGTTGCTGTCTGTCAATTTAGCCTATTTACCACACCCAACATACCTGATGCCCACATTGAGCTCATCAGAAGACCACTCCTCATCACACAGAGAGCTTCAGCATCTTCCTCATCTCATCATCACCAGGGTTTAGACTCCACAGGTGGGTCTGTACTCTACTTACGGCTTCACCACCCACTTCAAATATCTGGGATCACGATGTTGTCTTATCCACATTAATCATCCTTCTTGTTGGCTAAAACATGTGCAACTTAAACATAAGTCTTGTCTTATCTGTTTTAATATCCAGTGGTTGTGGTCACTGAAAGGTCATCATTAGATGGGTGTCGGCAGGTCAGCAGGGATTTGTGTCATCAGTTCTCTGATAACGTTTACATTTTCCCAATTATTTTTTTACATTTAAATCGGGCTCTCCATTTGAGGTCCATCTGCTCCACATTGTCAAAATTCTTCAACGTCAGACCTCATGCATTCAACAAACCAAGTGTAGTTTCTTTATATAATTGTTCTGTTTGCTGTTCACACCAGTGAACTGATTAAATCTATCAGTTATATTACCAAAAACTGCGTTAAACTTATCCAGTGCTGACAACAGACAAGTGTATTCCTTTTTAAAGAGTCATATTAATAAAGTAGAATAAATAGAATAACACATAACTACTGTGTACTTACTCTCAGAATGTACATTTGAAAAACTGAGCGACCACCTAAATAAAAATGATTAAACTACATAAAATACTTATGATTTTACTTAAAATAAAATTTGCTGTATACAATAGCATATAATAGTCATAGTATATATTTGTATCAGTCAGGTCACTTGAATTTATTTTCCAAGTAAATAAAATCCGAGTCATCCAGGTCGTAGGTCGTGGGTTCGTGACGTAATTGACGCGTCACACTGCAGAGAGAATGTGAACTATCAGACTTTCTAGAATGGCGCAAAAAAGGATTTTGGATACATTTTCCAACAAACAACCCAATAAAAAGAGTGGACCAGCTACAGTACTTGATCTCCGCTGAGCTGAACAGAAGATTTGATCATGATGGCATGAAGCTAGCAGCTCCCAGAGAGAACGTGCTCATCGAGGCAGCTAACAGTAGGGGCCAACAACAAACCCTGGATCTAGAGTCTCTTCATCTTCCACAGCTAAACTCTGATGCTGACCATTACCGACTGGACCTCCAGCTTAAGATGCTTGGAGATGCCATTGGTGATTCTCCCTGTCACATGGTACAAGACATAGCCACAAATGTGGCTAAGCTCCATCCACAAGCAAGAGGGATTTTCCAAGACGTTGAAAAACGGATACAACTTTGCCTCTGTCTGCCAATTTCGGTTGCTTCATCAGAACGGTCTTTCTCCACCCTACGCCGTCTGAAAACATGGTTACGGAGTAATATGACACAGAAGAGACTGACACATCTGACTTTAATGCATGTCCATAGTGACATTTTGGACAATGTGGATGTATCTGCCCTAATGAGGGTCTTCATTAGTGCCACCCCAGAGAGGAAAGCTACATTTGGAGTTTTGTGAAGCCCCAACACAAGGTAAGATGATGTTTTCCTTTAATGCTGCCGCTGTGCAGTGTTTTGCCAAGTGATGTAACCAAGGTCTGTAATGACCCATAGTTAGCATGTGGGCATGTGCAGCTGTTGCTAAGTGATGTAACCAAGGTCTGTAATGGTTTATTTAGGCCCCGGCTCCACGAGGACGAAAACGGGTTGAATCCGCATATTTCTCATGCGTATAGCCCTCTAAGCTCGACGACGCCGTAAGGGAAACGTAGAAACAGACCCCGCAAACGACAACGGGTCCAAAGGTGGATAGATCTGGGAACGGAGCACTCTGGGGGGTCCAACGGGGCCGTGGAGTCGCCTATACGGTCATTCGTTTTCATAGCCCCGCCTCTCCCCCGCAGGGTTGCTATCGTGCTCCAGTCGCTGCTGACCATGCTACAGTTCTTTGTGCAACATCTACAGGAGCTCCTCCTTGAATTCAGATTATTTATCTTTATCTCGATATGGACATAAACGCGAGTGAAGTCTAATCTGACAGGACGGAGACACGCAGCTCCTGCCGCTGTGATGCAGCGGGAGCAAAACACACACTTCAAGTCAGATCATCACCCTTAGCTATTTTAATTACCTCTCAAACTACCTAAACTAGTTATAAATATGTTCATTTTTACTGTCGGGTCACTCATTACAGGATCAGCTGCTGCATGAGACAGACACTGACGCTGTCAGAAGAGAGGAAAAAGAGACAGGCTCTGTGTATTTGATGATTATATATCATTATAAAACGGACAAGTAAAATCAAGCAATCTGATTGGTTCTTAGCCGTGGTATACTGAGCGTATACCACGGGTAGAATTGTAAGTTACTTTTCACAACAACTCAGTAACCCTCCGCGTCTGAGATAAACAGTATACAGTTGGGCTGAAAAGCAAACTGCCTGCAGTTTGCTTTTCAAACTGGAACAAGAAAGCAGCGGAGAAGTAACGGGGCAGAAACCCTCCTTTTTACGCAACGGTTCAGACATAGACATCAAACGGCAAAAACATATTCAGTGTGCAGTTCCTTTGGCATTAGGGCAGGGATATTTAGATACTTTCCAAGGTTTGACATAATGAATTGTGCTACTTTTAAAGCGAGCAACGATGTTTTCAAATCTGTAATCAAAAAGGTCCGCAAAAACATTTAAGATTAACTTCGACCTCCGGGGGGGGGGGGGGGGGGGTCTTACTATGGAGGAGTGGATTGAGGAGTGCCTATCTCCAGAACAAAAAGCACCTAAACGACGACATGTAGAGCTACGTGAAGAGCAGGTAGACCAACTGGAAAGGTATCACCATTCAAAAGCTTTCTGATGCGGGTCTTGAAACAAAGCAGAGAAATTATGACCGTTAGTGGCCACAGGTGAGAAAGCTCTCTCCAGAGCTACTGGAAGCCCAATCTCAGGGACCGGAGAAAGTGGAGCAATATTCTCGCCACACCAAGCAACAGCCTAGAACAACCTCAGCCTATACAAGTAACCACGTAAGCCATGCTACTGATGCTGGACAGGTTTTCAGTGGGTGCACAATAAACGGCAACATACACATTAATGTAAATAAATAGCCAAATAATGGATCAACGCTCTCTGTCTAATATGTTCGCTAGCTGTTGTTAGTGTTGTTGCATAGCAACCACCTCGCACTATGTTTCGTGCAGAAGGTAACGGACGGACTATTTTATTTTGAACATCATTATTTAATAATAACAACTATTTAAATTAGAGTGTGTATTTTTCATTCATATTGCCACACTTGGTAACCGTTTTATAAAAGCAATAGCTCACTTCAGGCCGTGATATATGCTCATTATATCACAGCTAAGGGGCGTGGTTCGGCCCGACGCGAAGCTGTGATATAATGAGCATATACCACGGCCTGTCGTGAGCTATTGCTTAATTATATCGTCGTTATTAATTTGTTTTAAAGCTCAATAAATAACAATGAAGACCTTTGACCGGCACTTTTATAATTTTGTCCGGAAGATTTAAACTTTAACACACGCTGACCGGCGAAAAACTCTGCCCGGTTCTGTCGGCCCCCACCGCGGAGAATACACAGAAGTGCAGCCATGACAACCATTCTTCTTCGCTGCTTTTGTGGAGGAAGTTGCTGCTTTTGTGGAGGAAGTTACAGCGCCACGTACAGGTTCGGCATATGTACTGCAGCTTTTCCAGCGTTTGGATGTAAACGGAGCCGTCTCGTGGAGCTTGACACAATCCGGTGTATATTGCGTGGGGACGGAAGGTTTTTTGCGGTTGCATTTGCGTTACTCCGATGCGTTTTGCCGTATTTGTCCTCGTGGAGCCGGGGCCTTAGCCTAACAGTTAAAACAAATAATTTATTTTAAAAATGTAACGGATGCTCTATGCCGTTGCTAGCGCTTGACTTCCTGTCTGGTGCGATCTGCTCTGACGAATTTGCTCGCGGCTCGCGGAATGGTTTTGGTGAATTATTTGTCTGTATCTATGTGGTCTCTGCCACAACATTACTTTTCTTTATAAATATGGACATTTTGTGCACAATGCCACTGTCAATGTGGTTTGTCATTATTAATAGGGCTTTTTTGACGGTTACTATTATGTTCATGTTCAGTGGCGTTTTTATATGTACAAAAGTGGTGGGGCACAAAAAACTTAGATGTCTATATATAAGCTTCTGCAGTGACGTGCAGTGAAGTTCATGGCTGCTGAGGCACTGGCACTGACTCTTCAGGTTTACAAATCTTATATTTTGACCTAAACCAAAATATAATATTATTTTCAAAAGCTTTTTTTGTCTGATGCTTCGATTAATTTTAAACAGACAGTTCAACAAAAGGATACCCAAAAAATGTAATTTGATCATTTAAATATTGAATTGTTCTCTCTAAGTAAGATCCCATTTTCAAAAAATGGCGGTCTTACCTTGACTTGAAGATGAAGTCCATTTGCCTATCCTTCTGGACAAAAAATTCTATAACTTTTTTTGTAAAAGTCCTCCTTATCTTCTTGTAATTTCAAAAGTCTATCATAAATCTAATCGATAGATTTATGATTCGAAAATTATAAAAGTAGGGTAGACATGTGGATATTATCCGGCTGAACAAAACGTGCATTTATCTAACAGGTACGTTTCCCACAGATCTTATTTCAAGCTATTTTCTAAAATCCTATAGAGAAACCTCATTGCTTTTTTGCAGCTTAC